GTGTGTGTGGGGGTTGAATCTGTTCCCATGTTCCCAAGAGGGGAAAAAGGGTTTCCAGGAGGGTATGTAGCACTAAAGTACAAACAGATCCTGAATATCACGGGAATACAGTTGCTCATTCAACTGCACACTATTGAGGAAAACGGCTAAAAGGGGATGGGGTGAGAACAAAGGAGAAAACAGGAAAAAATAGCTTTAGTTTTGACAGTTAGGAACAATGCTTTTTACTTCCTTTGACATATTTTGTCATATCTGTAGCATTTTTTTCTTTGGGGAAAGCAAGTGCCCTCTTCCCCTCCCCCTTACGGTGCACATAAATTTACCCACGCGTTACGATGCTCAGTCACCAGTCTGGATTTTAAACTTTCTCTCTGTCTCGAGTAATTTCCTCTTTTTAGGAGAAACAAAAGGCTGACCCATAAACAATATCGTTTAAAGACTTGAAATCCAATAAATAGAGTCGTGGAGCTTTCAGAATTTACTCAGAAAACATCAACGCATAATTTTATAAAGAAGGGTAAACATTAAAACAAAGTGGGTTGATGCATGCCTATTTCCTGGGAGCGCCATAAACTAAACAAGTTCATTACAAACAACCAACAAAATACTTATCCACCCGGGCGAAATACTAATCTGCCCGGGCGAAATAGTAATCCCCCTGCGAAGTACTAATCCGCCCAGGCGAAACAGCAGACCCATTTTTTCTGTCATGTCATATATACGCTTCCGTAATTTTGTGGGCTTAGCTGCTCCTTTGTTTACAGACATGTGCGGACTAGTCACGGCTGTTGGGTTTGTGACCTCGTATTACTTATGCTTCCACAGCAGAACAATGAAATGTAGTTAGAGGGGACCTCGGAATTTATTAGCTACCAGTCGCAAAGATTCAGGCAAGACCGGTAACTCACGGGTGATTAGAATCTCCATGCGGAAACAATACCTTCGTTTTTTGGCCTTGTTGCCCCGAGGGTAAAGCGCTCACTGATGCCTGGGAAGGGGATATTATATCCACCCCCCCCCCGAAATAAGAACAAAAAGTCTACTTGTTAAAGCTCTCAAATTAAGGATAACCTAGGGTCATCTAAGAATGGGATTAGACTTAAAATGTTCATTTGTATTTAGGTGATTGTTACAGATCTCTGGAAGTGCCATCCAACTTGTTGAGATCCTGAAATATTTTTCTCGGGACGACGACATAATAAAGGTAACATGTCGACATCCTGAGATAATTTATCACGGGTTGACAATACCATTAAAGTTGTACGATGCCATCCTTAGATAATTTATCATGGCATGAAGACTAAAAGTGGAATAAGGATATCCTGAGATAACGTATCATGGTATGATGACATTTTAAAAATTGGATGATCACATCCTCAGATAATGACGATAATCTTTATCTCAGGATGTCATCATCAAGAGACATCAAGTAAGTGTGATGTTCACCCTTTTACAATGTCGTCACCTCGAGGCAAATCAACTGTAGGCTGTGAACATCTTGCCTGTATCCTGTCGTTACCCGAAAAACAATATGCCAGGATGTCAACATGTCGGATGGTACTTCCAGAGCTCCGTAGATTGTTAAAGCGTACCCATGATCATAATTACCTTCGGCTTGTGAACAGATTTTGTCTTTTCCAAATTGAATTAAGTACGGATATCACAAACAAACGTTACTCTAGTTTCTCTTTTAGTGTCTGGAAGACCAAAAGAAAAGGAAGACGGTATGAACTGGGCTTGATACAAAAGTTGCGTTCGTTAAACCCATCTTGAAGTCAAAAATAAAAAAGGTCGACA